CGGATCGTCCAAGTCAAAACCTAGAATAGAATATGGGGGGGGGCATGGATTGATGAACACAGTCAAAGCGAGACTATTGTTTCCCGACTGCACAGACAACAGACGATCCTTGAAATGTCTGGGCAGTAAGAAAGAAATTTTCACCTTGAGTCCAGTCCAGCCCAGCCCAGCCCATTGTCAGTCTTACGGACAGGCAAACAAACATAAACATGTGCGAATGAATGAATGAATGAATATTCCGAATCCTCCTATATCCCGTCCCCGTCGGCATCAGCCGATCCAACAGATATACCACGCTGTCTGTAGGATGTCCAAAGAGGAACCACTAGACGAGCCAACTACGGCTAAGCCAAAACCCGCAGGATGGCAGGAGTCGGGAATTCCCATCAGGAAATGGGCGGGTTTCTTTTTTGATCCTTTTTCCCAATTATTATTACATTTTACTGTGTAACTTTGTTCTTGGCGTGCCATGTTTTTATTTGCCTAGGTTCAGTCTCTAGCTTCGGTAAGCACGCACGTGTAGATACTATATACAACATATTTAATACATCCTTTAGACTCGTTGGCGCAGCCACGGTCGTAGATATTACGAACCAGTAATAAATAAGTTAGATCGTGGGATGGTATTTTTATTATTTACCCCGGACCCGAAGTCTGTCTTTCCCCGCATTTTGGGTTTCGCCTTGCTTTCGCTTGAATGGGTGGATTGCATTGTACCTAGGTTGACTTGCTTGTGGTATGATTTCATGGGAGTGGATGTTGACCGATATGTTCTGTACCCTAGGTATACGGAATCAGATGGCGAATCTAGTATTCACTACGAACAGGTCGGTTCTTCGGATCTCCTCCTGATTGTCCTTCTCCACTGTTCGCTGTTTCGGCTTGGTTCGGTTCGGACGAACTCTGTTTATCATTACTGATTGGTCGGCAATACCACGGTAGTTATCTTAAAAGGTACTCCGGACACAGTAAGTTAGCAGTGTTGACATACAATTGTAGATTGATTAAATCAATGAATCAATAGATAATAAATTACAGAAATCGGCAGTAGATATCAACCCTGCTCTATCCCTACCTACCTACCTGTATGTCCAGCTAAAATATGTGCGTGATACATTTATCGATATACCGAGCAACACATGTCTCTCGGCATGTAACAGACCCAGTCAGACCTACAGCACCTCTGAATAATAACTACCAACCAACTCTAACTAACCAGGTACTTACCCATGCTCAGGAGATGCATGTACCGCGGTTCACCCTCTCCCCTCTTCCCCCACACTTCCTCCACACTTCCTCCACACTTCATATCCATACATGGATCCATACAAGGTATATTCTACTCTACCATACAATCCCATCCTCACCATATGCACCTCTGCGTCATCCATCCACCACCAACGGCAATATTCAGGGAACGATTAGACTTTATCAACTTCAATAACCACTCTATAGCCATTCGTCCGGATGATCCCTCCTCCTGCTCTCCCCGGCTCGGCATCTAGCAGAGGAGGCGTCGATCTTCCCGTCTGGACTCGGCTGTTGGGGTCGTGACTGTTGTCGTGTTGTTTCAGTTCGGTTCGGTTGTCGACTAGTAGCCCTATACTTTCTCTTGGAGTAGTGGTGGTGGTACTCATGATTTATCCGTCGGTTGGTAGAACAGAGTAGAGTAGACTGGAAGATCTATACGACGAGAAGAGTCGGGAGTTGGAACCAGGAATCTATCCCCTGTTGAATTCGCTTCTGTGCTTCGTTTCGTAGACGATATTCCTCTACTCGCTTACGAGGTATGTGTGGAATTCGTCCGTGCGTGTCTGATCCTGCTCCTTCGCTGTGACACACATACCTATACTCGCTTACCCTACTCACCTACCTACCTACCTACCTACCTGCCTACTATAACACAGCCCATTCCCATGTGAGAGTATCTACCTACTCCGAATATCACACGATAAACCCAAGATCGCCTCGCCAACATGCAGTATGCACGTCCCGCTCCTCACTCGCCCACTCCTCACTGATCTACCTATGTATTCACGCATATTCATCCTAGAGGTGGGCACTTAATCTACAGACTATGATCTTCAGTCTTGCCCCGCGTCGGGATTCTACCTAGTTAGTAGTTAGTTACCTACCTACTCGCCACGCCGAGGGTAGATCTGCTTCTTCATCTGAGGAATGGATATCGAGCTACTGACTCCGAGGTCGATCTACCACTGCTTGATTTACGGGCTTTGCCCTGGTTAATCAGATGTAAATCCCGGATCTACCTACCTAGGTGTTCAGGTCATTCTACAGAGCTAGGGTACCCAGCAAATAGTCCAATGTTATCATCTCCCGCTATGGTACATCATAAAAAAAAAGTCAAGCCAGGCCAGCGACCCGCTGGATATTCAGTCAGCCTACTTCGTCACTGCTGTTTGTCGGTCTGTCGGTCTGTGTTATGGCCGCTGTCACATCCAGCTAGCTGGTCACATTAGGCGCGCAAGGGAAGAAAAGAAATAAAGAACAACAGGAGGTGGAATCGGAATCGGATCCACCATGAAAATTAATACGACAGAATACGTTCATTCTTTTCAGCCCTTATCATACTGTTCATTTTCGCTTCTCCGTTTCCTTTTTGACATTACCAGGCGCTCACGTCGAAGTTTTCCTGTGTCTGTTAGTATCGTTTTGACATGATCAGGTAGATGATAACTCACTTCGCTGTAGTACGTCGTCACCACGGTTCGGTCGGAGAACTTTCTCCCGGCCAGCGCCTTCAATGCTGCTGTCGTGGATTCCACCGTGTCGAACTTGACAAAGATCTTGCCGACGCCGGGAGACTGTCGGCTTCCGCCGGATGGGCGTGGCACCTTGAGATCGACAATCTGGCCGTACTTGGAGCATTCTTCGCGGACGTCGTCGCAGATTTCTAGAAATCGTTAGTCCTCCATATAGAACATCGAGGGAAGAAAGAAGGAAATACCATCGTAGTCATCAGGGTCCATCAACTCCTCCGGTGTCACCATGTTCAGCAGCTGCAGCACACGGCTGGTTTCCAGATCCTGCGACGTCGTCTTGGCAAACATCGACATGGCATTGACGCCCATGTCCAGTCCCGCGGCCTGCGTCATGCCGATGCTGGCACGCACCACCTTCAGGTGTCTATCGCCCAGCTCCATCCCGTTGAGTCCTTCCACGGCGATGCTCGTAGCGGCGGGGTCGGCGTACTCGCAGAACGCAATTCCCTATATCTAGTTAGCTGTGATCTAAGCTGATTCGCAAGATATACGTACTCGAGACTCCTCCGTGGTGCTGTCCTTGACCAACACAAATGATTTGAGCTCGCCAAACGACTTGAGCAGCATCGTCACGGGCTCCTCCGGGATGTAATGCGGGATGTTGGACACGCAGATCTTGTTGGGCGAGTCGGGAACCTCGTTGAGCAGGACGCCCTCCTGGTACTCTTGCTCCGGTGCGCTAGGGAGGATGTAGTCCTTGGGTCGGCGGACCTCAAGTCCCTGCGCGCCCTTTTCGCCCATAGTCTGGTGTTCCTCCATCTGGATCCCATCAAACGCGAGGGCAACGGTGGCATCGCTCGGCGTCTTGAACTCCAGCAAAGCGTAGCTCCGGTCGTCGGACACTTGAGCGGAAATGCAGGGGTCCACGCTCTGGATGACATTGAGGCCGTTGAGCTGGACATTGAAGAACGACAAGATAGTCTCGCCGGTAGCAGTCGGGGGAACGTTGTAGACAAACAGACGCTTCGCCTGGCGCGAGTTAGACGGCTTGAGCGTGGTGTTATCGGCCGATCCGCCTTCGGGTTGGTTCATGAACGCCTGAAGGCGGCTGGGATCCATAGGTTGCTGGCGAGGCGCGCCAGGAAGAGGGAACATCCCTAGGAACAACTGTTAGCCAACCCGGTCTCCCCCACGCGAGCGCACAGCGTACTCACCTGAAAGCTTAGCCTGCTCCGCCGTCACGTTCTCATACCCAGGAGGCTTGATATCCCATTGCGTCAGACGACGTTTCCGATCCAGCACCGACGCCACATTCGTCAGGTCGGGCGTGGCCTCCCTCTTGCGCGGGGGAGGCGTGGCACTCCTTCTGCGCTCCCTCCGGTTCTCACGGTCACGATCACCACCCTCACGGTCGCGGTCTCCTCGCTCCCTCTCCCGTCGCGGTCGCTCCTCGAAGAGATCTCTATCGCGCTCCCGTCTGGGCGGCCGATCATCGTCTCTGCGCCGGCGGTCGGCACCACGGTCCCGGTCCCATTCCCGATCGTCTCTCCGGCTGGAGTAGCGGTCCTCTCGTTCTCTGGCGCGGTAGTCGCGGCTGGACGAATACGAGTCGGCCTCGTACTCGCGTCGGGAGCTTCGGCCGTAGTGGGGTGACCGCGAGCGTCTTCTCTCTCCGCGTCCGCCTCTCTCGCCCCTGTCACCACCGCGTTCACGGCGTTCGTCGCGCTGCGCATCGGACGGATTAGCTGGGTGGACGGGATGCGGCTTGCAACGTTATCAAACTTACGTAGTAGTCCCTAGGGCGACCAGAGTCTGCGACCGGCTTATTAGCCCCCTGACGAGCACCGTACTCGACCATGTCAGACTCACCTCTGGAAGAGTACGTATCCCCGTTCATCCTGATGGAATAATCTGTCCGAACGCGCTGTTCCCCTTCGCCAAATGTCCAAAGCTAACTGCGGTACAACACTCCTCAAATAAGCAGTGTATGGTACCAAAGAACAGCAACAAGTTTCAAGTCAGATGGAAAATCAGTTTAAAAAATGGGATCGCGGAGAGGAAATCTGGAACAGAGCGAGCTTCACTCAGGGAAAACTCGCAGTTGAGGCGATCGGCGAAGCAGCCGCTGGCGTCTAGTGTCGAAGCGGTTAGCGCGCTTGCCATGCGGAGTGGTTACTGACCGCTTTCTATTTCAGGACGGAGTCCGGCAGAATGTCCTTTTCTTGGATTGCGACAGAAGTTTACTCCTCTACATTCAACCCCAATTAAAGAGGAATCATGACAGCTGGGGCATTTTCAGAGTGGCGCAAGCTGCCGGTCAGTCTGAGCGAGCTCTGCATTAACACTACCTTGCGATGCGGCCAATCCTTCCGGTACACCACCCATCCACCGCAACCACAACATCAACTCCAATCACGATAACAGAATACTAATACCCAACAGATGGCACAACGTCCCCGACAGCGAAGAATGGCGCTGCGTCCTCCACGGCCGTCTCCTCTCTCTCAAGCAAGACCCCACAAACCTCTACTACCGCACCTACCTCACCTCACCCCCGGCGGCCCCATCCAACCCTAAACCGGACGACACGCCCGCCCTCCTAACCCACTACTTCAACCTCTCCTCGAACCTCACAACCCTCTACGCGCAATGGTCCTCCTCCGACCCCAACTTCCGCAAAAAGGCGCCCCAGTTCACAGGCATCCGCATCCTGCGCCAGGACGCCTGGGAAGCGCTCGTCTCCTTCATCTGCAGCAGCAACAACAACATCGCGCGCATCTCGCAGATGGTCGAGAAGCTGTGCGTGCACTACGGGCCGTTCGTCGCTAGTGTTGGCGGCCGCGCCTACCACGGTTTTCCTGGGCCCGAGGCGCTGACGGGGGCGGATGTTGAAGGCCGCTTGCGCGAGCTGGGTTTCGGGTATCGGGCCAAGTATATCTACCAGACTGCGGTTATTGTTGCGGAGAAGCGGGAGAAGGGGTGGTTGGGTTCGCTGGCGAACCCGGAGTTTCCTGCTTTTGGAAAGAGTCCTGCTGATGGTGGTGGTGGGGAGATGGAGGATGCGGGGAGGGAGGGGTATCGTAGGGCACATGAGGGATTGCTGGAGTTGCAGGGGGTTGGGCCTAAGGTTGCGGATTGTGTATGTTTGATGGGGTTGGGGTGGGGGGAGTCTGTTCCGGTTGATACGCATGGTATTTCTCTTTCTCTCTGCATTGCGACAGACTCGCTAACTGTTGACAGTCTGGCAAATCGCCCAACGAGACTACAAATTCGGCAAAGGATCCCACAAGTCCCTGACGAAGGCGACATACGACGCAGTGGGCAATCACTTCCGCAAGCTGTGGGGCAAAGACGCTGGGTGGGCCCACAGCGTGTTGTTCACAGCGGACCTGAAGTCGTTTTCAGATCGCTTGGCTACGTCGAAGAAGTCGGCCGTGAAGGTCGACGTGGATGTGAAGGAGGAACCTACGGATGCTGATGCTAATCAAGTGGAGGTTGAGACGAAGGTTACTACTGCTGTTGCTGTGAAGAGGGAGGCGCCGGAGGATGTGGTGAAGACTGAGCTAGAGGATGTGGTGAAGGCTGAGCCGAAGGACGAAGGTGAAGAGGATGTTGGCGCTGTGGTTAAAGCGTCGCAGACGGTGACCACCCGGAGGATGTCGAAGAGGCTGAAGAGATAGACTACACCAAGGGTTGATTACTGGCAATTATACGTCTATAAGGTCCTACATCTACATACACAATACAAGGCCGAATGGCATTCACCACACTGTTTTAACTCTCTACCCAACGGACATCGACAGACAAGCAGTGCCTCGTGGACTGATTAAGTAGCCAGAACTGACATCAACCAGATGAGGTCAGACTAAACCTCCTATCATCATTTCCAATCCTACATAAGATCCAACAGCCCCTATCTATACAAAGACTCTCGTCAAGGACACAACCACAAAGCACCCATTCCCTACTCCTCCGTACGACTACAAAACACAGAATAGCCAGCAGTCAACCAGTCAATAGTAATATACGGTAATGACCAAGATCTACATCCGCTGTTACCATCCCTGTTGACTGTTCCTAGCCCTGCATCGATTATAGCCGATATCCGGATCATCTCAATCGGGTTACTTTCCTCGCTCTCCATACAGGAAGAACGTGAATAAGTAATGGGGTAGGACATGACAACGCATCGTTGGCAATACACTGAAAGAAGAAAGTGAGTAGCAGACTAGCAGCAGCCTCCAGTCTCTTGAGTGGAATAGAAAGACCTAGGTAAACCGGGATGATCGGTATTGTTAGGACTACTCCGTAGTTTGGACCCGCACGACCCGATAGTGAAATCAGACATGATCATAATACTTAAAAGGATGTAAAGTAAAATAGTAAGAAAATATGCTTAACAAATTCATTGCCAGTATCCACATATACTACTCGAACAAAAACATACCAACTTTCAAGGGAAGTTAACCCCAAACCACAACGCACGATGACGTTAGACTGTACGGAGTATATCAACCCGAGGGGGACAAAAAGTTGGAAGTGGATTCTACCTCCCTCCCACCTCTCTCCCTACCTTCTTCACTTACCCACTAACCAAGTCGACTAAGAATAGGAATACCTACTTGTAAAGAATATACCACAACTAATCTAACTAACTCAAGTAACTAAACCACAGTCCGAACAACAGGAAACATGTTATACCCGGGTCGGGATACCTTCCGTCGCGCCGATCAGCGGATCGATCCACCTTGTCTAGTAGTGGACCTAAGTGAGTTAACTAAGTCTAACCTACCCTGTAGGTCGGGTGTGAGGTAACTGAAGCTCAGCCTGCCGAAGCCAATTTTAGTAGGTTGATTATACCCTGGTGAAAGAAAGGAGGGTGTATAACCTGCCTAGGTACCTAGGGAGGAAGACAGTGGAGAACTAAGTAACTTCCACGGTTGGACCCGGCAGACTTGACTTACATTCCAACCTTACCTGTGGACCGCATGATGAGTTCATTCTCCCATCCACGTCCACATGTAAATGGGGAAATGAAATAAAATATCGCAAACCCTGGCAGACTGTGCCTAGCCTCGAATATCCACTGCACACTCCACTCCACTGCACTATGACTGTAGTATCTATCATACATGGACAGGCAACTCTGCCGAAGACGCATACTTTTTTTTTACCCTTTCCCTTCCTTTCCCTTTTCCTCTCGTTTTACTGGGTAGGTTTCTTAAAGGGAAGATCGCCTTCATCTTGTTTTCGGCACTGGTTTCTTCACCTTTTGGGTTCTGACATTCTTGCTCACTTCTCCAGCCTTAACGGCTGCTGATACATACATTAACATCCTCTCCACGCTATGAAATGCTATCTCGCTAATTACTATTAACATGCATACATACACTCGTCTCAACATATGTGCGGAATACAAAAGAGAAAGATAAAAAGAGCGGAGAATTGGAGGATCATTCGTCCTCGTTTCGTGCTGCATCAACCCGGAAAATCAAACCAAACCAAGCAAAATCAAAAGTGGTATCACTGAAAAGTACAGGCTTCTTAAAATCCACTTCCACTTCCGCACTCTTACATGAAGCTGCAAGCTGTCCATCTTGCGATGGGTACACGGTTATCGTCGCTGGTGTGGGAGGGCGTGCGTGAACGCCACCCGCATGCAAGCGAGTTAAGGTCCGTCTCCGAGACTTGGTGGAGGCATATGTCTTGAATCGGAGACTAGGCACAGTCCTGATCAGGCTCAGTGTCTACGTCAAGATATCCTCGCATATCTCGAAGCGAGACACCGGCGGCGTGAGAACCCGTTGAAATCCGGGGTCGGACTGAGAAGGTCGGACTGAGGTCACACCGAGGTCGGACTATAATCATTGAGAAGGCCAGGGCCACTCGCCAATCACGGAACGCCCTCGTCACGAGACTCCTCAGCCCACCCCCACTCCCTCAGCAACTGATTCACACGATACCCCGTCGCCCAACCCAAATCAGTCTCAATCCCATGCAGCAACCGCATGACCATCCGCCGTTCCGGCGCTTCCGTGAGACACTGCCCGCTGACGAACAACGGCTGGAGACTATTAATTCTCACTGAGCCGTGCGGCCGCGCCATCGAGATGCCGACGATTTCGCGGCTGTGGAGGCGGATGTCGTTCTCGATGGAGCGGTAGGAGTTGAGTCTGTTGGTGATGGTACTGCGTCCGCTGGTCGACTCGTGCGGCTTGTTGATGAGGAGGAGGATCCGCGCCATATGGAAATGCTGCATGGCGGATGAGCATAGGGGGAGGCTGTACCAGATTTCCATCAAGCCGCTGGCGGCGTCGCTGCCTGATGGCTCGATGCGAGCGCAGGGGCGGAATGTGTCTGGTAGCCCGCTGTGCCAGACGTCCAGCTCGGCTTCTAGACGGTACCACCGTTCTAGCAGGACCTGCGGGGTAAGGCCGAGGGGGCCGGTGTCGACGGAGCTCTGGTTAAAGTGCACTTGGCTGCCGGCGTTGATGAAGTTGACTATCTTGGAGAGGATCCAGATGAGGCCGTTCCCGATGAGGTCCTCTTTCATGGGCTCCTCGCCTTCGTGGTACCCGGGTGCGCTCGGATTGGCGGAGCATACGAAGCCCGCGCTGTCGATCTGGAGGCCGGCTTCGGTCCACAGAACGAGGTCGTCGGTGTTGAGCCGCGTTTGACTCTCGTTGATGACTGGGCTGGTTAACAGTGGACGGTTTCATATCGCATCGTGCAGGCACTCACAGGCTGCCAGGTAATCCTGCCGGGCAAAGTTCCAAAATGTCGCCTTGCGTGCTTTAGACAGCGCGACCTTCTTGGGTGTCTGGAAAGAGTTGTCGCCCACAGGCGTTCGCTGCTCCAGAGGCATCATGCCGACCTCCGCTACATCCAGCAAGGACTTCACGCCGCTCAGATGGCGGCTCCACGCGGGCCCTGTGGCGTCAAGGAATTCATACACGGACAGAATGGCCGTCGCGGCCAGGATCTCGTCCGAGTGGACTCCGTTCGATAGTCGACTCTCGGAGAAACGTCGCCTCCGCTTACGGGGATTGTTGGCTTCTTCGCAGAGCTCGGCGGCCTGCCACTGACCGAACGCCTCGGGCGTGCTGAGCGGCGGGGGTCCCTTGTCGGGTTGCAACTCTTTCATCAAAAGCTGGATGGCCTTTTCATAATACTTGGCGCCGTACCACGTCCAGTCTACCTTGGTCGTGCTGGGCCAGGTTTCCATCGACGCCTGCTTGGAACAGACCCCACCCGCCGGAGACTTTGCTCCCTTGACACGGCCCAGTTGTTTAGCAGCATACGCACATGCTGCATACTTTAAGAGAGGATTCCGAAGCGCCTTCACGGGGACATAAGACGCAAAATACGTCCCCAGATCGAAGAGGTCCATCCTACGCTGCCAGTCAGCAATCTACCGTGCGCGCTAAAGCGGCAATGCTTACCATAGTCCTGGGGACTCGGAAAAGTGTCGCAACAAAAAGGCGGATTCGTGGTCGGTCTCCACGGACGCCTCGGATTTTATTTCCGCGGCACTGGTACCCCGTGACGCGACGGACCTCGTGGTCATGGACGAATTTCGTCGGTCTGGCGTATTACGGATGTGAGGATCGAGGGGCGGCGACAGAGATTGAGAGGGGTTGAGCAGGAAGTTGATATTATTATTGTGGTTCGAGGCAACCGAAAGAGGGGGAGATGTTTGGGGCGGCAACACACTGCGCGCTTGATGGGGAGAGGGACCGGACGATACTGAAGAGGCGGGGACATGATTGTAGGTCGTGGTGCTGTCGGGCGTGGGCATACATGGTTGGTCTATGTTCAGGGAGGGATATGGAAGGCGATCGTGCGCTGCCGCCGTCGACAGGGCTTCTAAACCGGGAGTCTCGCTATCGGCCGGTGTACTCCGCTGGGCACTCCACTCGCGAGTCTGTGATTTTGCGGCCAGGATGGCGGCCTCGGACTCTCCGAGGGCCGCTTCCAGTTCCTCTGCATACGGATCGGAGTTATCAACGAAGACGACTAACGGGGTTAGAAGTCAGGTTAGTCCGCCGCGAAGAGGGGAGAAAAAAAAAAAAGAGGTGAAGAAGGAAATACCATGTTTCGGAACATCCAACCAAACAACATCCTTGGCAAAAGTATTCTTATACGAATAAAACCCCTTCAAACTCCCGCGGCCACTCGCACAATCCTCCAGATTCTTGTTCATGGACGCATTCTGCTGATGGCGAAAGATGATCCCTTCGCTCGGACGGCATTCCCGGGCACCTTTGCGACACTGCGAGCATTCGGGTTTTTGCTCATCGCCTATCCGTCAACCGTCAACTTTGGTCCACAGAGGATAAGGTATATGTAGAGGAAGTGAACGCGCGGGAGTGTGTGTGTGTGTGTGTGTGTAGAGAATCGTCGAGGTGGAAGGAGTGGCACGTACATTTCAGCTTCCGAGTACGACACGTCAAGCTGTGAGAGAAGACAGACTGCAGTTAGCGTCTCTGCGACAAATACCAGGGTATCATCTATCCCCATCACGCGACGCGACATGACAATATTTCTTTTATTTCCATATTCATATAGAGTAGAACCCATAGAAAGTATTAAAGTACATACCAGCCTGTGCGAGATCGCATCCCGGGTAGTAACGAGGTCGAGTGAATTGCAGCATTCGAAAAGAAAAAACGGGGGGGGA